GAACGATAAATTAAACATTGTTCTTTAGTTATATTATATTTTTGATCAGATATTAATGGTAAATCTTTTAAATCAGATAAAATTGCAAGTGCATGTTTAAATTCATCATAATCATTTTCATATAAATTTTGACATGAAATAGAATGATAAAATGGTTGTAAATATTGAAAGATTCTTTTCGATAATAAATCATTATTATTATTATTATTATTTATTTCCATTAATATACGTTTTGATTGCGCAAATTTAATATCCGATGATAGATTATCATATTTTTTTAGAAATGTTATATAAATAAATTCATAAATAAAAAATATCGAAAAGAATAATAGACAATTATTTCTTAATAAACGATAATTGATTGAAAACTGCATTGGCCATAAGTACTTACTCTCACATTCTTGAATCTGAATAAAAGAAAAATAATATAATTAGTTACAAAATATTGTAGTAGATATATTTCATTCAACTCAAAATTACTTATTTCACAGCCTTATAAGTGGCTGTTTCTTCTCAAAGAGAAAAGTACACAAATGTCTTCAGTGTTCTTTCTTTCTTTCTTTTTTTTTTTTTTTTATTTTTCTTCTTTCACAGGTGTTCATTCTTTTCTCTTTTTTTTTTCTTCTCTCAATTCTTCTCTTCTTATATTCCATGTCTTTTAACTCATCGAACGTTCATACTGCCCGTTTGAACTCTCAACGTAATCTTCTAGTTACCTTCTATTGTTTGCTTACCTTACATCACACAAAACAAAAACACAAACGTTAAGACTTACAACAAGAAAGATTTGTTGTATTTTTTTGCTTTTTCTGTATTGTTACGAGACTTTTTTTTTCTCTTTCTTCCACAAAAATCGAAGGATTTTTTTTTTTTTACATCACCGTTCGTGAATTACGCAGAGAAAAAGAAAACCTTCGTCTCAAGTCTGATTATTCTTAAAGAGGAAAAAAAAATGACATTAAAGAACGTAAAACTAATCTAAGTGTGAATATACTATTTTTATTTTTCTTTAAAATATTAATTATTTCATTTACTTGATGTTTTTCTTTGATAATGATTGAAAAGAGAAGACATATTTTTTTAATTTTTTTTTTACCTTCGAGATTTTATCGTTTACCTTCGAATACGATGTACGTAAAAACAACACGAAAGGCAATTATATTTAACATATATTCACTCGTTTTTTTTTTCTCATGGAATTTAGGCACACTTTCAGCGACACAATAACAGTAACACCATAAAAGTAAATGATGTATTACTTCTCACAATGGTAATTTGAGATTATAACCCATTGTGTGTGTATCGAAATATATATATATATATATATATATGTTCGCTCGATGATTTGATCTTGTTCTTTTTTCTTTCAAAAATATTAATCATTGTAGAAAGCAAAGAAAAAATGTAAAATGAATATTTTGTCTACGCTATTCAAATGAGAAAATATTGAAAAATACAATGTTTTCTTTTTTTTTTCAGTATTTACCGATGATTAATTACATAGCCTGAGGTTTTTTTGAATAATTAATACACATGTTTTTTTTTCGATAGATTCATATGTTAAATTATTAAATCTTT